CGTGAAATACCATGTACTAGATCAAACAAAAGGAGAGTGAAGTAGCGTGCGGCGCTTAAGACTCGGTTGCTTATGATCTAATTAGAACTAGATTATCGAAGTCATAAGTCATCGTATGGCCTGAAAACCGTGGCGTTGTGTTTGCTTGGTTCTTCCGCTTCTGCTTGCAACTCCGATAATTCAGCTTTCACTGGATCAATGTTTGAGTCAAAAGTGACGTAAAAAGAAAATGGAAACGTTGTAATTCTTCCGACTCTGAATCTGTGGACTACACGACGCTGCCACCATTTTGTGGCACGGCCTCACCTAACCCCTAATTAAAGCATTTCGAAGACATCGTTGCATGCTGAATAATTCTCGGAACATCCTCCTGCTTTTAAACAAAAGTGTCAGCGCTTTGTTGAGACAATCTTGAATTTCTACCACTCAACTTAATTTAATCACGTTTCAATACATAAATTGAAGGGGGAACTTTCAAAAGTCCTCGCAACAAATTTATTACATATCATAAAAAAAAGGCTATTGAACTAATCGTGGTAATGAAGTGCTATCGCTTGACTCACGATGAGGTCACTTCCAATACCAGTCGTGATGTGGTAGACTGCGTACGTGTCACAACCTGTCACCTTCTAAGGAATGACGGGAATTTCCACGGAAAATATCTATTCTACTTTAGAACTGGTTAAAAAGTACAAAATGTTCCACTGCAGCCGAGTATTTTCTTCATCCATCATTGACCTTTAAATGCGACACGAAGCATACTAACACTACCAAGATTTGCCTATGCGTCTGAAAAACTGTTTCCATTAATTGGCAAGAAATAACCCGTCACTTGGTTTGTTCTCGGTTGAGAAACTCAAGGATACTTCAACACCATTTGATCCTTCATCGCGCTGACAGATGGTCAGCTGGGATATGAAGGCTGTAAAAGAAACAAGAAGAAACTCGTGAAAAAGATATAATTTTTTTCGTTTTTTTCTCGAGCCTGAGACGAATTGGAAGAGTTGAACTCCAGATCTGCGGAATTTGCACTGTAATGCTCTATCACTTGACTGTAGATACCTCAGTAGTAAGCTAATGTGTATGGAAGGTTCATATGTGACGAGACTCTTGCATACTGCTAGGATTATCATAGTCAAAGCATCCCGAGAATGAGAACGATGACAACAACCTAGCTAAAATTACCTTCACAAATTCCTTCATAACGCAATATAAATAATGATCTAACTTACCGCTGCGCTAGTAATGCTTCTGATTCCGAGAAACCTCAAGTGAAAACCCAGCTCCATGCGAAAAGAGTGGTACTTGTCGTAAATGAAAGCTAAGTCAGTTTGATGATTACAGAAAATACCGATCACTTCGTGGCATACAATGATAACGCAAACGTTTTCTTTGAACATAAATTTTACCAGGCTCTCAAAATCATAATTTTAGCACAGCATAGCCAATCCCTACAGGGTGACAGTTACTTCAAGGGTTATCAACGACTTACCCTCTGTCAAGTGCCCTCTAACATCATATCCTGTCAAGGACTGCGCTTACGTCATTGTGGTCATTAACCCTCAATGACGGAGAGGTCCAAGTCTTTGCTTCCCAGGACGTAGCAGAGATTATTCAGAAGGCTTCATTGTCGCACTGCAGATTGCTTGAGTTTATCTAGAACAGGTACATGCCTTTCATTTCTTTACCAAGATGGACAACCACATCTAACGAGAGACTCCGCACTTGGAATGCAAGGCGCTCTCCTCCCTGATTAAGTAAGATTCACACCCAGTCTTCCCTCTCGTCGGTGTTGCTGCTGAATCTAGTTACTGACGCGCTGTTCGATATCAGATTTCAAGTCTACTAAAATTGTAATCATTACATGTACGACAGGGGAGGCAACAGGCTCATGTTACAGTACCCAGCCAGGGTTAAGGATGCTTGAAACACGAACTTTTCGCTATGCCACATCAATCTCAGGTTTTTCATTTCTCTCGCTGAACACGTTTACTTCAAGATTAATTTTAATTGACGACGTCTGCATTTTCAAAGCTTCGCCAAGTTTGTAAATCCATTCTTCAGCCAGATTATTGTAGTCATTGAGTGTAAGGTTCAATGTGGCAAGTAACGCGTTTTTTGCCAAAACACTCCCCAGACCATCTGCCCAATCACCACACATGTCTCTGTAGTTGTTGACTGTAAGGCTTAGCGTTGTTAATGAACTGTTTTCTTCCAGACCACTTTTCAGACCTATCCAGTCTCCGACCATTTCACTGTAGTTGTTGACTGTAAGAGTTAGCGTTGTTAATGAGGTGTTTTGTGACAGACCAAATTCCAGATTTCCTGTCCAGTCTCCACTCATTTTACCGTAGTTGTTGGCTGTAATGCTTAGCGTTGTTAATGAAGTGCATTTTGCCAAAAGATAATAAAAATAAGGTGTCCAGTCTTCTACCAAGTCTCTGAAGTAGTTGAATGTAAGGTTCAGCGTAGTTAGTGACGTATTTTCTTCGAATTTCCACTCCTTCCATGTCCGTGGAAATCTTCTTGCGTCATGGTTGTGGTTGATTGTGACGTTCAGCGTTGTTAACGACTTGGTTTTTGCCAAACTACCCCATGGTAAATTTAACCAGATAATCCTGCTGGAACTGTGGTCGTTCAGCGCAAAGCTCAGGGTAGTTAATGACGTATTTTCTTCCAAACAATCCTCCAGATCACCGGTCCAGTATAAACTTACTTCACCGTAGTTGTTGACTGTAAGGCTTAGCGTAGTTACTGAGGTATTTTTTGCTAAACCTTTCCCCAGACCTTCTGCCCATTCTCGTAGCATTTGACGGTAGTTGTTGACTGTAAGGTTCAGCGTGGTTAATGACGTGTTTTTTTCTAAACCACTCCCAAGATCACGTGTCCAGTCTCCTCTCATGTTACAGTGGTTGCTGACCGTAAGGTACAGCGTAGTTAAAGACGTATTTTTAGCCAAACCATTCCCCAGATAACTTCTCCATTTTCCTCTTGTGGTACTATGGTTGTTGACTACAAGGTTCAACGTAATTAATGATATATTTTGTGCTAAACCAATCCCTAAACCATATGCCCAACGTCCTCTTAGGTCACTGTAGTTGTTGACTGTAAAGTTCAGCGTAGTTAATGACGTATTTTTTGACAAACCTACTCCCAGATCACTGGTCCAATTTCCTCTTAAGGCACGATAGTTGCTAACTGTAAGGCTTAGCGTTGTCAATGATTTGTTTTCTGCCAAACCTATTCCCAGACCAAATGACCACTGTACCGTGACTTGCACTTCAGCGTAGTTGTTGACTGTATAGCTTAGCGTAGTTAATGACTTGTTTTTTGTCAAACAATCTCCCACATCATAGCTGAGGCCTTCTTTCCTGTAAGCGTGGTTGTCGACTGCGACGATTAGCGTATTTAATAACGTATTTTTTGCCAGACTGTGTTCCAGGACACCTCTCCAATCTCCATCAGTGTTCAC